CATAGAAATATATATAAATTCTACAGGGAAATTGGGAATCTAATTCAAAGAGAGATGACGGACTTATTGAGATATTTAGATATAAAAAAAAAAGTAATTTGCATGCATTATAGAACATGTAGAATTGAATGCTGTTTTTTTTTAATTCATACAAAATGAAAGCAAGTGACCATCACATTTTGCATGAAGCGCGGAAGCTAAAAACACAGCATTCAATTCTTATATATTAATGAATAAAATGAATAAAATATATATATTATTCACATTTTAAATCCGAAAGTTAAACTTTAAAGACAGAACATCGGCAGAAATTGTCTAGTGAGATTAAAGCAGTGTCAATCCACGTGAAATCAATCATATATGTGCTGCCTCATATAGTTAAAAATGCACAATAAAGATGTCGATAAACTCATCACAGATACCAGGCTTACGCTAGACGTGCGTTTCATCTACAAAAGACTCAATAGTGACGCTCGAATTCAAAATATTAAAAAGGACAAAAGAAAAGTACGAAGTTGAAGAATATTGATTTCATAGAAAATAAGTCGTAAAATATCAAATTTCAATCATTATTGTACGTGTATGTCATAGGATAATAATTGAACAGTTATATAGTTATATTAATTATCCATATTTAATGAGATATATTGTCAACTACATTTTTAAATGAATGAAATTAGCGAATTGTTCGCACAAAATACACGACAAAAGCGAAAAAGGTGTTGATTTATTATGTAGGTGGAGCTAATAATTCAATAATCTTGAGTTACTTTCATACCGCATAGGTTGCTTTTATACGGCATGGGTTGTTTTCATACAAAATGAAAGCATATGACGAAATCAAATGATTCGTCTTTCAGCCAATAAAAGATCAGCATTTGTATGAATTGTACACTTTTGTAAATATAGAATATGATTATGTTATATATTGTATATGCATCTTTTCTTTGCAGAAGAAATTTGTTTATGATGTGAAAATAGAAGTAAATGATACAAAAAAAGTTTCAGAAGTGTATGTAAAAAGTTAACTTAGCAAATTTGCTATATCATAATTGTTTGCCTGTACATAAATCTTGTATGCCTAAGTTTGTAACGACGTTTTGCATTTAAAAGTAAGAACAACCACTGGTCGGCTTGAAGTCGGAACAATGTGTCTTGATAGGTCTTGCCAAGTCCCGTGGACTGTTGACTTAAATTGTGTAATAGTTGATTAAAAGTTTGGTTCAGTTTGTCGTTTTTTTACAAAGCAAGGTTCATTATAATATTACATTTAAATATGTTCCCGCCTGATATGCATGTAATATTTGCCACTGGATGTTAAACAAAAATTCATCCTACGATTAACAATAAGAAAATCACTTACCTGAAACAAGACGGTTTATTCCTATATAAAAAATTAGGCTTGCCTGAAAAATTAGACATAAAATAGATCAATTTTGTTTATTTTTTTTTGTCTTCTTTCGTAATATTCATACTCAAAACACTGAGAATTTTAAAATAGGCGAATGTATGTATCATAATTCAATGGGAATATAAAGAGTCCAACAGGCCTCAAAAACTAAATGTAAACAGTTCTTTAATTATACATTGAAACAAATTTTATATCAGAAAAGGAACTCTACGCGAGAAAAGGCCTTCGTAATGAGGCAGATTTCGCTCCTGAAGGTGAATCATTTAAAATGACTTGTGAGATTTTCAAGAATTTAGCGTGAATTAAATGTGTAGATAAGTTGTACATTTGAGTGAAATTCACATAATTTGTTCGCCTGAAATTTTTTATATTAAATTTTTCATAAATCTGTTATGTACAAAAAAAAACCAGAAAAATAATATAGTTCTTTTAAATTTCTAATATACTCTATCCAATAATATGACATTTGTTCTTATGTATATTGATATGAAACCAACAGACACTGAGGTTTTTTTTAAACATATACATATACATATTATATATATAATTTCAGGTTTACTTACCACTTTACGTATATCGTCATGATCCATCTCAAATAGCGAGGCAGATAGTGATATAGATCAGCGTCATTGTATCCAAGTATCATGTGAATAAAAAAACAACGTATCTCTTTTCTTTATTTATTCCGGATTAAGATAATCAACATTGATTTGTAAGCAATTCAAAAGAATATCATCCTTTTAAACAGGAGACTTCAAACGTGGTATTAGCTTTAAAGGGAAATGAAAAAAAAAGGATATTCCTTGACTTAAAAAAGATATTGCACCGTAAAATCAAAGTAAAGACACGAATGGATAAATTGATAAATCTAAGTTCAGAAATTAATAGTAAATAAGTGTCTCTGGTCATGCATAATGTTAAGAAGAATGTTAAAGAATCAGTTGCGCTTAAGCTGTTATACTAGGGAGCAATAATTGCATAGACACACAATATTTACATGTTCTGCCGTCTATTAAACCTAAAAGCATAGAGCCACTCAATCGTTACATGATCTGCCGTCTATTAAACCTAAAATCATACAGCCACTCAATCGTTACATGATCAGCCGTCTATTAAACCTATAATCATATTGCGAGTAGAGCTAACCACTGCATCGAGTGTGATACTATATTTCTTCACTCAATACAGTAAAATTTTTAAATGTAAAACACGAGGCTTGCCGAGAGTTTTAAATGTTTTAAATTTAAATGTCGCGAGTGTAGAAATATTGTATTTCACAAGATTTGATGGTGGAATCTGTTTCTGAATCTAAAAGGATATTGTTCCAACCACCGGAAACCCCCCCCCTCGCCCCCACCTGGATCCGCCACTGTAGTTCCCAATTATTATATGGGGTATTTCTTCCTGAGTATTCTGACTACTGTTTTCTTTGAAAAGTTTACTATTTAAGAGGTCCTATCAGTTGCATATATATTGAAATAAGTAAAGCATGTGGGAAAAATTTATTGTTGAAAGTGAAAGTAGTGATTTCAACGGACCAAAAATGAAAGTAGGGTAGAAATTAGCCTTCTGCATTTATTCAAGGTCCAAATCTAACCATTTGCATGTTAATGGGGCTCTCAAAGAAAAATCAGAGATGGATTGTCCTGTGACAAGCATATTTTATTAAAATAATAATGGTCTATAAGCAGTTAAATTTATTTCATGTTTGAACCGGTGCAAATTTTTCAATTCATAAACGGATCTCACGGCGTTTGAAAAGGGAAAGGATTGAATATACAACCCACACTGAAGAAAACACTCAATTGAATTAGCTTTTAATGATTCTGAACAAACTGAGACACATTTCATCTCTATAAAATCGATTTTGATGCACATTTATCTAGCTTTCTTTTCAACCTCCATTCCTCTACTTTTCAATCGCATATTTTATGTAGATCGTACTATATGTACATGGTATTTACGACCTTTTTTATTGTCTACAAACAAGTTGAACTGTAAGTTATTGTTCACTATGATAACTCAAATTATGTATTTAGCAAACTGAAGTTGACGAGTGATGAGTGTGAAAACACAACATGCTCAAATGTAGCTCGATTTCAAATTTCAGATAGCCTTGATTAGTAGTTTTCAGAAATGCGTTATGACAAGTATATATAAGTATTTGGTAAACAAGAAGTTGATATGTGGTGCATCTGAAAATGAATCACACAGTAAAGCATGCTCATATGAAGCTTGATACCAAACCTAATTCAGTTTTACTGAGAAAAATGCGAATTTTATTTGAAGGAATGATGGACAGACAGATGCAAACCAGTATATTCCTTCTCCTTTTCCTAATAAACAGGGGTATAATTATGATGGGATTCTTTTGCTTGTTTGCAGAATTTTGAGTTTACAACAATTTGAAGTCTTAAAGTCCATATACTATCTCTTGTCAATTCCAGAGGCAGATATAATTTTTAATTCCTTAAAAAAGCCTGTCTGTATTTGAGCTTTATGGTCAAGTAAAGGAACAAATATATAGAGAATTTTTAATATTCATGTTATTGATAGATTATCGGTGTGTACCATTTCTTTGGTAGAGATTTCTGACTATATGTCAACTGATTTTATCTTGCTTTTCAGATATTAACTTAAAGTAGTCCTAGTCAACTTGACTGTAGCAGTAATATACTGTGCTCAGCATAGCTTTTTTTCAGTTTAGGGTAAAGCCATTTTAAAAAGCTGCTGACCAAATATGAATTTGTTATGTTCATTAATTCCTGAGAACAGTTTGACGAAAGTATTTGTTGGTCAAACAGACAGACAGACAAGGTAATTGCAATATAGCTCCTCCCACTTTTAGAGTGGAGGTATTGTGCTGTGTATGCTAATGACACAGCAAAAATAAAAGACATATAAAACAAGTGAAACTGCGAGCTACTGCTCACTGATGATACTCTTGCCCAAATGCAAGTGTTCGGTAAACAGGAAGTTGTTGAGTGATGAATCTGAAAACACATCACACAGTATAGCTGACTCATATAAACCCTGAAACCAAATTTCAGAAATCCTTGTAATGTAGTTCCTGAGATAAATGTGACGAAAATTTTCAACTACTTGGATGTCATGTGTAAAATGATGTAAGTGTTTGGTAAACAGGAAGTTGTTGAGTGATGAATCTGAAAACGCATCACACGGTATAGCTGATTATATAAACCCCGAAACCAAATTTCAGAAATCCTTATGATGTAGTTCCTGAGAAAGATGTGACAAAAAATATTCATGGAATGGACGGACGAACAGACAGAGGTAAAACAGTATACCCCCACTTTTTTAAAGCGGGGGTATAATCAAAAGAAATCTAAAGGTCAATGTACAGCCTTCAAGTTCAACATTAAAGAAGTGTCTATACAATATGTCTAGCCCTAAATAACCTTATGAAAGCTGTGAGTATATATATATTTCAAAAAGTGGTGTAGAAGTACAGATTCCTATTTGTGAAAAATGTTCTTGCCAAATAAGATATAAAAGGTGAACAAACATCCTACATGCCACTCATCGATACATGTATAAATGTTAGACATTATACCTTCAAACAAAGGACTATTTTTTAGGATATTTTATTCAATATTTAGTATGTAACAAGTACAATAGTTACAATAACAGCATTAGCACATGTGCTACATGTACAGTGTAACAAGGCTTTTAAAAAACATTTCACTTCAAACAATGACTAACAAGCATAACTACTCTGGAAGACTTTGCAGAAAGATCACAGCCAATATCTCCTGTATTATATGTAGATCTGATTTCAGTCATTGACTATTACTGACTTTGTGAAAGGCATAACATTTCTGTGGATCTCAAGTGATTCACTTTGTTTATATAAAGTATAAGCTTTCATTGATTTATATATATAAGCTATTAAAACTATCATCTCAGTTTTCAGTCATCTTTTAAGACTTTGTTTATAAATTTCAGAGTTTAACTTGAAAGTAATGTGATGTTCCTCATTGATCATTCTGAAATAAAATATCAATATTGCTAAGAAATTTTACTCAAATTAGAAATTCTGAATCAAAGTTTTCAACAGGATTCAGATTTTTTTCCTGACTAAAAAATTAGATTTAATAGATCCAGTCTGGCACTAAAAACTTGTAACAAATCAGGCATAAAAATTCATTCAAAGACTTTCAGAGAAAGGCATGTTACTTTATTGATCTTGTTTTAAAAAAAACAAAATCAGGAAAATTGCACAGAATTCTTTTTATAAAATATAAATATCATTTCCAAATTATTACTGTAATAATATTGAACTTAAAACATTTTACATGTAGCAACAGCATATAAAACCTTCCCATCAAACACAACAACAACATACTTTCATCATATGAAATATAACAACAGAATATGTTACAAAACATGTGCAAAAAAACAATTTATACCAACAATATCTAATATAATAAACATTTTCCATTTCATGATCAATGCTTTTTTATCTATATGCGATGATAATAATGTATCAAAGCTCAATTCAGTTAATGGTGATCTTGTATTCATATATATGTGAATATATGTCTAAGTATGTGAACACAATTTCTTGACATAACTGCTACAACCAAAACTGTTGATGTCTTAACCAATTGTAATATAACTTGTTCAAGACTGTTATATTGGCTGTAATTTGTTCTTGAAAATAAGAAAAAAATCTGAATAAGCTATTAAAATGAGGTAGATAAAATGTCAATTTTTAATATCTTTATCTATCAATAATGAAAAAAATCATATGTTTGCATGATGAATGATAGGGAGATGAGTATCAATTAAAAATAGAACAATGGACACTAAGAATGTGTGAAACAAATTTTAAGGATTTTTGTATCATATAAATCAATGTGTAATGCCCATTATAGTTATGCTGTGTGTGAAGTTAATCACCTGAAAATGTGAGATGGGTACATGGATTTTTCATATCCAATAAAATATGTTTAATAATATTTTGTTCAAGAAGCCAATTAAAGCAGAACAAATACTTTATCAATTCAATAAGTTTGATGATAAAAAAGAAAGACAGAAATTCTAAAGCTCATCATTTTATTTCAATTAAAATATTAAAAAAGAATTTAAAAACGAATTGGTAGAAAAAAAGTTTTTATCAAAGGTCTTACTGTTATTGTTTATTGTTCTAATAAAAGTTATATTAAGGAAACACATTCTTTAAGCAGTATTCAACATTTCCATCATTACTTTAACTCCTTCCATCTGAGCATAAATGGCAATCTTTTTGGGTGTTTTTTTGCTGTGCATGTACATATTTGGGTCATAGATGGATACCCCATAGACTTTGTTTTTCTATAATGTTACACTATCTGCATAGAACTCACATGCTCTCGATCATTCAACCACATCCATCTTATAAAAGTATGGTTTCAATCCAGTGTCTAAACTGCATAACGTATTATATTAATAATAATAATCCATACACAATGCATTATTAGAAAAATGATTTTCAAATACATCATTCAATTGTGCATTAAATAAATTTACACTGAAGTACATTACACAATAGGAGTATTAACCATTTTTTTAATCAAATTAACATTTCTACCGAAAAATGAGTTATTTTATTAAACATTGTAACAGATCAAACTCAAAAGCAAATTATCAACTAATGTACATGATTATATTGGTAACCACACCATGCAACTATTAAAGTTAACTTAGTGAATAATAAGAGTGTCTGACATTGATTAGATACAAATTACTAGAATATAAAGCTATTATACCAAAGTCATAATAAGAATTTTGTACTTTCATAGTAATTCATTATCAATAATATGGTCAATTATGGTAATGATTTTTTTAATTTAAATATGATCTTGTTATAGATAAATATCTAAAAAAAGCTTTACACATCAGTATAGAAAATTTTAGTTTTGAACCAAATAATTATTTAGAACAAACATGTCCCCTAGTAAGATTTTCTGAAATATTATTTTGATTGTCAGATGATAAAAAAAACCCAGATCAGTAAACAAATGCAAAACAAAGAAAAACATAACTTTGGCCTCACCTATGTTTACATTTTTTATAACTAAGGAGGCCTTAATATGAATTGTTTTACAAAATGAATAAGATACAAGAAGATATACATGAAAATATATATGGCACTTTTTGTTATAATAATTATGCAAAAAACTCAAAACAGTGTTTTGTAACCAAATCTAAGAAGGCTAGACAATCAAAAGACAAATGATTGACCAGCATTAGATTTAATTACATATCATTTCACAGCCAAGCTTTAAAAAATGAGCTTAGATCAGCAACAATTTGAATAAAACAAATGCGACTTAGAATTATAAATACTTCTAAATGCTGACAAATCACAGGTTACTTTTACACGTGTACCTCTTTACAAAAAGTAACATATCATGATTACAATGCATAAAACATATAGCCTATTTGGTGAATAGCTGTTTAAGACTAGCAAAACAAGGATAACACTTTGATATTTGGATATTTTATGGCAGGTTGCAGTTGAGCACTAAGATTTCCTCAGTCCACTTTGGCCAACACAAATGCTGTTCGACAAGGAATGTACACCTACAAATAAAAATATGCTATTGATAAAAAACAATGGTGTATATAAATAAAAGCAAGAAATTGTCAAAACTTTGTGAAACTAATAAACTGGCAAGACAACAGTGACCCAGCTAAACGCACATGTACAACTGAAGTTTATAGACCTTAAAATTGAAAAAAACAAACATTTTTCTCAGTATATCTATAGCTAAACAAGTGATGATCAAATATCAAACTAAAAACTAGAAAAAATTTGGCAAAGAGAAGTAGCTCTACCTAAAACAGCAAAATGAGTCACCAGGTGGAAGTTAATGGCATGTTCTTGTCCATGTGCTAGTCAAGTTATAATATGGAAAGCCTTGCTGTGGATAGTAATGGATAATGTGTGTGAACAGTGTTGTCCTTTGAGTAGATTTGAAAAGAGAAGTTGTATGTCGTGACTGCAAAAGCTGAAATTGTTTTTGACAATATACATAGATCATGCTATATAAGATTTATCCTAGGTTGAAACTTGCATTTTTCAACTCATGTAGGCAGGGTTTCCGCTGGTGGTGGCCAATTTCGCAAACTTGAGAGTGGCAAAAAAAAATTTTTTTTGTGAACCAGGGGAAACCTTGCTTGTAGGCAGGTGTTAAGCTTATACATAAAATATTCTTTCAAATTTGGTAACCCATGATTATATTTGTCACAGAATATTTGTGGGAATCGTTTTTAGTGTTTTTACAACATTGAGATATGTTTTCTATTGTTTATACAATTTTTTTAACTGTATCATTCTTTCATGTTTTATAACAACCTCTGGAAAAAGCAAAGAGTATGTGAAAAAATATAATGTGAATGATAATACATTACCATTAAACTACATCTCCTATTATCCCAGGGATCATTAGCTGTAAAGAAATCTGTATTATGATCCAATCTTTTGTGTCCACCAAACTCTTCAGCATCAGAGTCTAGAACTATTTTGTATCTTATTATTGTTAAAGAAACATACAGAATACATGAAAAAGTATATAAACAAATAAAGAAAGTCAATAATTAAATTCAACTTTATGGAAGATTCCACTATTGAAAGTTACTGTGTGCCACAATTTCAAGGAAGACATTTTCTGGGAAAATGTCTTAATTTGTAACAAACATGAGCATAACATTGTACTGTAATTTAAATTTTTGTCATTAGCATAAATATTCATTCCCTTAATAGATTTAAATTATATTATCAATATTACCAGTCTTCACCATTATTCATTTGATACAGGTATACTTTCCTTGTCCAAAGAAATGATGTTAGTACAATTGTAGATCATGTCAACACACAAGTGCAATTACATTAACAGGACCAATTTTACTGCACCAGATTCGCATTGCGACAACAAATGTCTTCTTAGAGACGCTCAAGGCCAAAATATTTGAAAACCAAAAACTTATTACAAATGATGGAGAGCTGAAAAATCAAGAAAGGACCAAAAGTAATGCCAAAACTGGACAAGGAATAAGACCTATGCATGAGGGAGATGCATCCAATAATTCAAAATGACTTTTAAGATGTTCTTACAGCTAGTTTCTATAAAACGATATCCATGAAAGTTGTTGTCTCATCTTTTTTTGCCTAGTAAGATCTCAACTACTGTTAAATGCAGTACAATGGGATATATGACATATGTAATAAATATCTATATATTATTATTATAAATATGACTATTAAAAAATAAAAGAAGAATGTGTCTGAGGACACGAATGCCCCTGCTCCAGCTTTGCAACGAAAATAGGAGGGACAGAAAGATGGAAGGACAGACGGTCAAGGGTAACACTTAATGCCCCCATCACCTATGGCGGGGACATAAAAACTTATTTCACTTGAGGGTTTCACTGTATTTAAGGATACTTTCCAGGAATGTTGACTCCTATTTTATAATCTGTATAACTGTTATTTGGATGGAAGTTAAATACAAACACCAGTTTGTCAGCTCTGTCAAATACCACAAGTTTGTCGCCCTGATGTTTCCTACTTATATAATTCTGAAAAAGGAAAAATAAGAATATAATACTACAATATCAGTTATGTTCCAATATAGCAATGGTCAGTGTTTAATCTTACAAGTCTATCTTTTAAAAAAATTTGTTTTGCTCTGAATAAGTATGATAACTTGAAATCTACAGAGAAATTATCATTATCAGGTAGCTTCCTCCACCAATAAAAACTAACCGTTACAATATAGCCAGGAGTGCTGAAAGTGGCGTTAAACACCAACAATCAATCAATCAATCATATTCAAATACATAAAAATTGACAAAATAGAAAAAAATCTACTAAGCTTTCTTCTTTCAATATAAGTATCATAAAAACATTTAAGGAAATCAGATACAGCACACCAATAGACACAGTGAGGAATATGAGTACTATAAACTGATAACATCCATACCTGACCATGACTCAGAAAATTATACTTTTTCTCTAGGTGCATCATTGCTTTGTCAAATTGATTCAAGTATTTATACTTCAAGTTTGGATCGTCTGCTAGATAATACTGTCGTCTGCAATAATGGTAACTCTCATCATTTCCTATCCTGGGAAAATCCAACCATTCTGGATGTCCAAATTCATTTCCTATAAAATAAACATTTATTAAAGTAAAATAAGTTTTGCTATAAAGAATATATATTCGTGTTATGAGCTTGTTAAAAGAGTTTCTCATAAAAAATGATTTATGGGAATTAGCCTTTCTTCAAGAATTATATTTTGAAAAGTAGGCAGATCAGGGTGGATATGAGTTTTTTTTTTTAAGTGTTGCAGCAGGTCACACATATGGGCCCATCATGAAAAGTTGTTAAAGTTTTTTTTACATGAAAGGAGTCAGAAACTACCCATACACAGCCTGCAGGATTTAACATCCCAATTCATGTGAGCAGAATACTTAAATTCTAATTGAAAGGTCAAATGCTAATCTGAATTCACTAAATATCTAACACAAAGTGATTCTATAAAATACCTCAAAACCACAATAATTTTTTTCTCCTTGCTTGTTATAATCATATGTATAGTATACCTGAGCAAAGAAAGACAACCTGGTTAAAATACTGAAAATAATTACAGTATACTGACCGCTGGTGTTAAAAAGCCATTTTATGTGATTTTGAACGACTATGTCAGATTTTAGTTGTAAACAAAAATACATTTTTATATGAAATGTTTATATCAGCTTGAAAGTATTTTGTGAGAGTATTTTAAAGAAAGAGAGTAAACAATTCTTACCCATGAAAGTTAGATAACCCTCTCCACCTAAACCCATTGTAATCAGACGTATCATTTTATGTAGCGCTATTCCTCGATCTATAACTAGATTAGGGGGAGATAATGTTGCCATAGATGTGTACATTTCTTTGTCCATTAACCAGAATGCTAAGCTTTTGTCACCAACCAAGGCTTGGTCGTGGCTCTCGGCATAAGCAATGCACTTTTCACTATATCGTCTATTAATCAGTGTATGAACCAGTTTGTCTAGATCCCAGTCATCATCACTAAACTCTTTTAAATACTGAAAAATGTAAAAATTTGAATGAAACCTCAACAAGTATGTTTGTACAATATCATTCCATAGCTGTTTTTTTTTCCCTCAATTTCTATTTTTTACCAAATTCCCACTTATTCAAAATATTTGAAGTTCTCTTCCTAAATAAGATGATCCTTAGTCCTTACTCTACTAAAATGGACAACGAATAATCAATTAAAAAAAAACGGATTTACCAATTAAGCAACCATATCTTGTAAAATACCACAGAAATTTCAGACATAGATCAAACACAAACCTTTATCCACATATCAGGAATAGCCATGGCTAATCTATAGTCAAATCCTCCTCCTCCCTCTTCAACAGGTCTACATAATGCTGGCATACCAGAAACTTCCTTTAATGAAAATATATTTTAGGTATATTTTAGAAGTAAAGTTATGTAGACAATGTAATATTTACTCTCAAGTTCCCATCATAAAAGATTTTTTCTTATTTTTAAAATTCTATATAAATATAATAACTTTTATCATCCATATTAATCAAAACACATTGACATTTAAAAAAAACCAATAATACATAACCTTAATAAAATATAAATGTGATGGTCATTTCCCCTCACTTCTAAAAATAACTGAACGGAGAATGAAAAGACTTTGTTGTGGAATCTAAACTTAATCACTTAAGAATGAACACGTGAGTAAGATATCATTTTATGCTAAAAGCATGGAAATATTATAAAAAATGTTTTAGTTTAGAAAGCAAGGACTACAAACTTCACATAAAGGTGGTTGCCTTGACAACTTTTTTCTTCAAAACAACAACTTTCTTGGTAAAACTTTGATTAAAACACAACTTTAGAAGCAGACACTCAGATTAGACAGTAAATACTATACAATAGAACTAGTTTTCATGTACTAACCCTGTTCCTTTTTCACACACACAGCATGGATATTCAGAAATCACACCTGCAAGCTGATAGAATTGAGAATGGAAACTGGATTTGTGTCAAAGAAACAACAACTTGACCAAAGAGCCAAGGCCACCAATGGGTCTACAACGAATTGAGAAAATCCTAAGGAAAACTTTAATGTTTAGTTTAGTATTATATTGAGCCAAATAAGGCTTAATAATTTTTGCAAAACATAAGTAGTGAATAAAAGATGATGTGGAGTATACAGAAATGAGGTAGGAACCCAACAAAACAAAAACCAAAGACCCATTTCAAATCATAATGAAAAAGTGTGAAGATATGAACAAATGAGACATATACATACCTCTGCTACAGTTATCATATTTGGGTACAGCTGATGTAACATATAGTTTGACACCATTAGGTAGACCAGTGAATCTGTGTCCGTGTTCAAGCCAAAGTATTCATTGTAGTCTCCACTAAACCCATGACCTGAAAAAGGATCAGACTAGAGACTCTATTCATGTGTCCAATAAAAAGAAATACAAGGATATAAAACTGAATTGATACCAACAGAACACTTTGATATTTACAACTGAACCTGTAGCCTAAAAATATAGATAAGATAAACAGGATTTACTAAAATCCTCATATAAAGAGTTTCAATACATGATTTCCTTCATTTCAAATGCATCAAAGTTATTAAGAGTACTATAATTTCTGACTGTATATTTTTATTATCTTTTTATCTTATTTTAATATTCTATTTTACTTCTTGTACATGCAGAAATGTTAGATATTGATTACTGTGGATTCATTTATTTTCGTGGGTATGAATTTTTGTGGATTGAGGAAAACTTTTCTTTGATATTTGATTTTGTGATTTTGCTAATGTCTGCATACAAGTCTTTAGAAATTTAGAAATTTGTTCAAACATTTAAATTCATAGTACACCTGTACCCATGAAACCCACGAAAATTGGTATCCAACAAATAATGATGAATCCAAAGTATTTACATTAAGAAAGATCAAATAATCTTACAAATATCTTGAGATAGATTAACAACTTACCCATGCCATGAGTATGATACAACATAGATGTCACCCCATCAAATCTAAATCCATCAAATTGGTATTCTTCTACCCACCATCGCAAATTGGACAAAAGAAAGCGTAAAACTTCATGTCTAAAAATATATAAAAATAACAATTTCAGCAAACTTTTAGTGAAACAATCAATATGCATATATCTTTAAACGCAAACTGACAAAATGTGCAATGAATAACTAGACATCATTGAGATGGGAGCCATCTCTGTGGGCCCCGATGTGAATAACCTGTGGTTAAAAATTTGTATCTTTACCATAGACATGGGGTTGTCATCTAAAACCAAAGGTTTTGACCTTGACCTTTGACCTAGGAAGTTGTACATACATTATGACACACCCTCTGGTGTTGGTTAATATACATGTCAAGTATAAAGTATGAAATCATAACGGTTCTCTAACAGGGCCCTAATAGTGAATCCACAGAATGCCCAATAAAATCAAAGCACCAAAGGCGCTATAGGCAGTTAATTGAAAAAATCAAAGGTAAACTTGGCAGAAGTTAAGATGAATATAGCGGAAGAATGGATGAAAATATTTTTCTCTAATTCTTCGTCAATTTATCCCTTTCTGCACTCATTGTATACAAAAAATTTAATCAACGTGTGGTTCGTTTGATCTCAGTTCTTCATTGGTTAAAATCCGATTATGACGTCGAATTTACTTGCTTTTCTCTGAATTTCCTATTGTGACGGCATGAAAAAAGGCGACCATGCCTGATGACGTCACATAGAAAGAACACATCTTTTTACAGATCATTCGAAAAGACAGAATAAGTTTGCCTGCATATTGTTTGAAAATCATTAGAGAAACAGATTCCACCACCAAATCTCGTGTAATACGATATTTATCCACTCTCGACAGTTAAATTTTAAATAATTAAAACGCTCGGCGAGCCTCGCATTTTAAATTTGAAAATTTAACTGTCATGACTGTCTCGAGTGGATAAATATCGTATCACACTCGATGCAGTGGTAGAATCTATATATCTCAGCTATTTCTTAAGTATCAAATAATGTTTGTATCGTAATGTTTCTGCTATCCAATCCTACCACTTTCAAAAGTTATTTCCAATTTATTTTTTAAAGATTCAATGTCTGAGATTATGCACATACACTGTCCCATGTTAGGGGAGAGTTTTGTGCCAGCTAACATGTTTAACCCGCCACATTCTGTATGTACCTGTCCATAGTGAGGAACCAGTAATTTGGTGATTGTTGATTGTTGCTGTATATCATATTTATTTTTCATAATTGTTTTGTACATAAATCAGGCTGCTTTAGTTTTATTGTTTTACATTTGTCATTTCGTGGTCGTTTATATCTTACTATGCAGTATAGGTTTTGCTAATTGTTGCAGGCTGCATGGAGGAATATTCTTTTCAGAATAATAATTTCAATTATGGTGTCCAACAGTGGTGTATGGTTTAATTCCACTATGTACTAGAGTTTGAATATGCCATATTAGCGCTTTTAGTTGGATCAGCTGGTGCCACTATGCACAATTATCAAATCATACCTGAAACTATCTGAAATGGTGTAATTTTCTTGTATACTAGTATTACAAGAAATGCTGATGTTGTTATAATGGCCTAGCAATGATGCAACATATATTTTTGAAGGCTGTACGGTTGCCTGTAATTGCTTACATCCACTTCATTTGAATTTTGGTGGATAGTTGTCTCATTGGCAATCATACCACATCTCCTTATTTTTATAATAATTACACATGTCTAATCTATAATAAGCTATTAACACAACGTAATGTTTTGCCTATTTGTTATTTTGATAATGCAAATGTTACACTTAAAATAGTAATACTTTAACATGTAAGCAATATTCAAAGTCAATGAACCATGACTGAAGGTACAAGGCTAAACAATCTCTATGGAAATGAAAGGTGCCAATGCTTGTTCAACTGCAAACCAAATACCATTGACTTTTCATAAGTCGTTCCCTTTAAACAAACCTTAACACAAATTCAATTTCTAAGTCAATGAACCATAATGAGGGGGTGGGGTTATATAATATCCATGGAAATGAAACTTTTGAATACCAATACGTTCGCATACCAAATAGCTTTGACTTAAGATTACTGGTAATTTTAAACTGACATAATCATAATAATCACAAACTCATTCATGTAAACTAAGTAAAAGTTTCAAAGTCAATAGATCATGCATATGACTGAGGGGTGAGGACCAAATATCCTCTATGGAAATGAGACGTACTAATGCTTCTACACCTACATGCCAATTATCATTGACCTACCACTATTGGTTTCCCTAATACTAACCTAATCGAAAACTAATAAATGAAATTTCAAAGTAACATAAGTTTCCAAGTAAAAAGAGCATGATTGAGGGGGCGGGGCCAAATAATCTCAATGGAAATTAGAAATAAAAAAGTTTATACAACTGCACACCAAATATCATTGACCTACCACTAGTGGTTCCCCCTAAACTGACCTAATCACAAACATATACATGTAAACTATGCAAAGTTTCAAAGTCAATAGACCATGACTAAGGGGGTGGGGCCAAATATTCTCTATGGTAATGAGATGTGCCTATGCTAACACAACTACTTACAAAATGTCATTGACCTACCAGAAACCAGACCTTATCACAAAATCACAAACTAATACATTGTTGATTCCGCCAAAACAGCATGCCTATATATATATATATGTCTCACTTTTTGACTCTGTCAAGGCAAGACAAAAATTGCAACAAATTTAATACAAATATTTTGTCCATCTTTTTTTAATATTCTTCATTTCTTAGATATATCAATGCTGCGTTCACACATAATTCGAATTCGATTCACATTATTAACTGATTTGAATTAGTTTAATACGCATTCGAAACGTTTAATGTCCAAAAGTAAATTCTACTTTGAATTGCAATACACGTCAAAATCGCTTTACTGTGAATGCAGGGGTTAAAATTAACATTTGGTACTGGACAGTCCAGGACCTTTGACACTCCAAACTGAAAGGTCCACAACCTAAATTCCAGGTCCTGCTTTTACTTGAAATAGTTCATAACTCAGTAAGATACTTTAATGTGCTTTTGGTGTTAAGTTAGCTTGTTTCATTGTCAGTGTCACTGTCGTTTAACTTGTTTAATAATAAATGTAATTGTCTTGTATATTAATTTATGAATTCAAATAATCTTTTTTTTTTGTATTAGGAAGGCTGAGGGAGGCTGAGGGTATCACTGTGGGTGGGTGTGTTGTCTCAACAATTGATTATTTATTACTAATTATACCATTATATTAAACAGTTCAAATTCAAAACTGTTTAAGTGTATCATATCTAGTTGCACTATATATTATATTAGCTAGTTCCTCTGTGAAAATAAAGTAAGAAACTTCCAGATTTTTATAGGCCCTTCAAAATTGAGAAGAAATTACCTCATGGAATTGTAGTAATATGTTTAAACAATAAAAACATCTACATTTCATATCAATATTTATAAATGATAAGGAAAATACTGTCACATTTTATTGGTTTTTAACATGAAAATTTGTGAACTAAAAGTAATTTTGAGTTTCTGTATAAAATATTTCCTGCTTTTTCTTTCTTTTCAATATATCTTTGGTTTTCAATTCTAGAGTTTATATTTCATCATGATAGATGTATTTTGTCTCATGCCTGGAATTATTATATTTTTATTGTATTTGATCGGCAAACCCGGAATTACCCTTATCCGCCCCCGGAATTAGATCTGGTATTATAATTGTCTTCATTTCCGGTTTATGGCATCCATTGTTTTTCAATGTTGTTTTTGTCAGTCAGATACGATTTACTCGGATTTACACATAACATGTTGGCGATTTTCGGTATAAAGCTAGCGGTTGAACAAAATGATTATTATCAGAAATCACCAAATTTAAAACGTCCTTGATTTACGTTTTGTCGACGAAGTTAAAATTACCGCCAACTGAGACTTCAACTCCGTGTCATATTAGTCACAGCCGTTATACAATATTCCTGCGCTTTGTGCCATTTGGCAACTGTAAACGACTTGTAATTAGTGATTTTCGGCGATGAAATAATTCATGCAATTGTTCTTTGACATCTTGGCCAAAAGCACAGGGGATAATAAACTACATAAGGATTTCTATTGAGCACTACTTCCTATGTGCAACTTCAAAACTTTTGGGTGGTTCGACGATCATTTAAGGTTTTTCTGGTCATATTTTTTGTATTCCAGAATTAAAAGTATGAAAAAAGTGTTCAATTAGTTATAAATAACATAATAGCCAGCCAGATAATAACAATGGCACATATTTCAGCATTTATTGGGTAGAACACAAATCTAGGGTGCTCGCTTAAAGCAGCTTAACTGCTTAAAAAAACCTTGCAACTGATATAACAGGACTATATTAAGTTTAACCTCTGTTTTCAAGTTTACATTCCAATACTTACTCAGTATAATTGAAAAGGCGTGAATCCCATAAATCGTGTGTGCCTCGTCCACTATCATGGAAGAAGCAGGATTGGGTTCCATCAAACTGGTTCAATCCATCTACAACATTCTTGGAGGCATGACTGTGTACAACATCTAATAATACTACAATACCTAGTGAGTGGGCTACATCTATTAATTCCTTTAATTCTTCTGGGGTTCCATATCGACTGAAATAAAAAAATATCATATAATTTTCAAACATACTGTATGTGTAACAAGAGCATGTACAAAAAGTGGTTATAAAACAATAAATGAAGAACGTGCCCATGGGACACAGATGCCCAAACTTGTAAATATATGGCAAATTCAGCAATTTTTCCATAAATAAAGGGACATAACTCGAGAACGATGAAAGTGACGACACCAAAATTTACACTTGATCCGTGGTAATAAGCATTGTGTATAAATTTCATATCATTTTGTTGAGGCAATATAAGGTTAGAGTGTGGAAACGGCAAATTCAGCCATTTATCCATTTGTAAAGGGACATAACTCAAGAATGAACGTGACGCACACAAATAAGAAATTGATCTGTGTTTGGTGGTAATAAGCATAGTGTATAAATTTCATAAGATTTGGTTGAGGCAAACTTAATGCCTCTGTCGTCTAGAAGCGGGCAGGTCATAATTTTTTTTCCCAACATGACAGTGTAAATCAATACGGATTATGATGTCCATGTTCACTGACTGTGAAATCAAGGTCAATACCCCTATATAGCATATATTTTAGAAAGTTTACATCATAATGATCATTTGTGCTTAGTTTCATGTTGATGTAACCATATATTCAACATAATCTTGGTCAAAATTCGTAGTTTTTAGATTTTTTTTTTAGAAATTTCACTATATTAAGAACATAAGTTACAAGTTTCATTTTATATTGTTGATGTAACTTCCACTTTATTCAGTGAAAATGACTTTAGACAGAAACTATCTGTTACTAAGAAAAATGAAGCTATAATTTTATTATTTCATTTAATAATACAGAATTTGGTCCCTCCACACAAAAATCTATACCCAAATATTATCTTTACATCTGCTTAATGTAAACAAAATTACCTAGAGGCAGCAAAAAAACTTGTTACTTGGTAACCAAAACTAGCATAATATGCATGTTCCATAATGGCCATTAACTGTATTGAATTATAACCTGAAACAAAAATAGAAAAATCTTTAATGTTAACATTGTTATTCATTTTTATTCAATGTGTCATCTGAGAGCATAAGTTTTTTTTTTCTTTTTCTTAAATAGCTATGTCTCTTGCAAACATAACCTAACATATTTTTGTTATTGCAAGTTCATAAATTTTTGTGTGCATTTATGATTGCTATTGTTGACCACAATTTAAAAAAAAAATAACATTGCAAATATTTCTGAATTTACAGTAACCTGTACTGACTTTTTTTTTGTTAGAATGCTGAACAGCTTTTACAGCAGAGACCTTTCCTGTGTTAATCAATTTTCAGTGATTAATATTCTATCAGGAGTTATTCAAACAGTTACAAAGGTAAGGTGTAAAATTCAATATTGCTCATGAAAAACAGACAATCAGAGGGACAAAATTAAAACAACACTGACCACATGGAAAAAACTGGTTCACACACAATGGTTTCAGGTATAATAATTCAAATGCTTATATTTTCTAGCAAGTACACATAAATTTTATCATTTTCTAGATTACATTTATGTATTGTTTTATACTGGACATTTTAATATTAATGCTTATTCTGCAGTTTTATAGTTCCAAGCTGTTGTCTTTATTTTTCATAAATATTGACATTGCTTGGAAGAGGGTAGTGAACAGGACTCTTAAACTGTAATCTAGTCATAAATATTGACATTGCTTGGAAGAGGGAAGTGAACAGGGCTCTTAAACTGTAATCTAGTCATAAATATTGACATTGCTTGGAAGAGGGTAGTGAACAGAACTCTTAAACTGTAATCTAGTCATAAATATAGACATTGCTTGGAAAAGGGTGGTGAACAGAACTCTTAAACTGTAAACTTGTCATAAATATAGACATTGCTTGGAAGAGGGTGGTGAACAGGGCTCTTTAACTGTAATCTAGTTATAAATATTGACATTGCTTAGAAGAGGGTAGTGAACAGGACTCTTAAACTGTAATCTAGTGGTTGCCGTTGTTTGCAGTCTGTCATAATTGTTTTAGCATAACTCATCCTGTTTTGCTTTCTTGTTTGAATTAAATTCACATTTGAAAAACCCTTTGTCAAGCCTTTAATAGCTTACTATGAGTTTTGTTCATAGTTGAAGGCCATGCAATGACCTGTAAGTGTTCACATCTTTGCCCTTTGGTCTCTGGTGATTTGTTGTCTCGTAGAAAATTATACATCATCTCATTATTTTTATATTAAATATTATGTATGTTTATTTGTAAACCTTTTTTGAAAATTCAATCTTCATGCTCAGCCACAGCTTGTACAATTTCTACCAAGCCTGTAAGAATTTCTACAGGCAAAAAGAATCTATAAAAAAAATTTCCAGCATGTAGCTGCAAAAGTTAAAGTAAAGTCTGAGTGTAATAATCAATTGCAGGCAAAATACAATATTACCTAAATCATGTATTCGAGGTAGAACATCCCTTGTAAATTCTTTATAGCTATTAACTTTTCCCTCATGTGAACTTATCCCAACATGAGATTCGTAGATACGTAATGATGCTGGTTTATCTGGTCGTCTGTGTTTAAACTGATATAGCTAAAAAATATATATTTTAAAATGTTACTGCAATTATACTGATGAATGATTTAATGTTACCATCTGTAAATTATATTGTAAGCTTGCCATTGCAATAACAGAAAATATTCCTTCTTTCTCAAAATAATTCTCTCATAAAAAGCAAGAATATTTCAATCATCTAAACAATTAAACACATCAATTTTAAATGTAATTCAAATATATGATATCCATTTGACGTGACTCTGTGCTTATGTATCCCGTCATACTTTGAACGACAAAATTATTTTATTTATAAATATTACTTTTACTGTTGAGTCTGTTTTTTGTGATATACATTTGACGTGACTCTGTACTTATGTATATCATCATACTTTGTACCACACAATTATTTTATTTTATTTATTAATATTACTTTTACTGTTAAGTCTGTTTTTTGTTATATCCATTTTACGTGACTCTGTATTTATGTATCCCCTCATACTTTGAACGACAAAATTATTTTATGTCTACCTGTGCGAATTTCAAACGCGTGATTTTACGCCAGTACTTAAAACCTTCCATCCTTTATGGGTGGATTTTACATAGATAAATAAAATAGTATAATATAAGCAAAATGAGGATGATAAATTTGATGTATGCCTTTTTGTGCTTCTTCGTTACGATTTTTTGTTTTTATAGTGATTAAGATGATAACACAATGTTGACTGCTGTACCCCTATTTTTGACTTTTTTACCTATTGTCTCTGTTTGTTTTGTTCATGCATCGTTGTCAATATAATGGAATTTGATGCGACTGTCATACAAGTGAGAGGTTTAGCTAGCTATAAAACCAGGTTCAATCCACCATTTTCTACATAAGAAAATGCCTGTACCAAGTCAGGAATATGACAGTTGTTATCCATTCGTTTGATGTGTTTGTTTTTTTTTATTGTGCCATTTGATTGGGGACTTTCCTTTTTGAATTTTCCTCGGAGTTCAGTATTTTTGTGATTTTACTTTTTACAAGTGACAGTAATCATTCAAATATTACTTCTTACTTACTAAAAACACTTCTACTTCAATGTGATTTTCTATTACAATATGACTTTCTATTACAATGTGATTTTCTATTACAATGTGATTTTCTGTGTTAATGTCATTTTTCTATTACATTTGTAAATTTTCTATTACAAGTATGTTAATAGTCACTTTGCTTAACACTTTTGGACTGTTTCATGTCAAGTGATTATACCACTCTTACCACCATAATTTCAAGTTGTGTAGAAGTAATATATTTGTTTAGTGTTCAGAACTTTCATCAGTGTTCTCAATAAGAGCCGGCAACCAGCAAATTGGCTGCCTATTGCGTGTTTTGTGCCGGCTATTAATTTATTGACAAAAATATGACATAAGCGAAAATCACATAGTCGGTATCGGTCGTACATAAAATCTGTACAAATGGAGATTAATGTTGACACGGATATTTTAGACAGCTTGTTACAAACTTGTGATCAGTGATTACTTTTAGCAAGAGCCGGATTTACAGTAAAGATAATAAATCTCACTTAGTGTATCTTACATGGATTTAAACTTGTGTGCATTTATGTATTGTATTGTATAATCGCCGGAGTATAAAGTAAAATAAAACACGGTGAAATCAGTCCGCATCCGACGAATTCTAGTCACTTCGGAATGTTGTTAAATCGGCACCCTGTATACTCAATTCGGTACCTAGTCAAATATACGTTGAATATATAATGTTTTTAGTATTTTAAGCAAAAAGATTAAAATAAAGAAGGGAGATGGCCAGAATTAATTATTGTATATAATCAAGTTCTTTATGTTTCTTTGTTGTATTTTCTTCGGGCAACTATATTTGTATTCAAGGTATTGGATATTTATTATGCATGTTTTAACCAGTTAATATTGATGACAGGGACTCATAGTTTGCCCTTTTATTGCTTCTTTTTTTTCGTGATTAAACAACAGCTTGGGTAATGGCTTAATTGGTTTTTATTTAAGTTTTTGAAGAAAAAACATCAATAACTACCTGTATGAGTTAAAACAACAAACATGTTAATTATTTAATTGATATAAGTTATTAAAGAACTAATTATATATATATTTATTCAAGATAAAAAGGCATGAATTTGACAGATACAAAATATTACAAAGACATAGATACAGCACTAGACATAGTTTATAGACACTAAAATGATATACATGTTTACTAAAAATTTTAAATTAAGAAATAAAAAATAAAATTATGAAAATTTTCATGATATTTTGATAATATGATTAGACTAGATTAAAAATTAGTGGAATTTAACTTGACTAGATTTTACACTGTAGCCTAATATCTTAGGATGACCCACAAAAGTTAGTAAAACTTATTTCCAGTGGGGTCCTTTTATAACGAGACTTCCAGTTTACACCAAGGGTTGACACATAGAAAATACAAGCACAAATCATTTAGAATTTATCACAGATAAATGGTCAAAGCCCCAGTATAATTAATAAAAAACAAATTCACTATTATAGATGGATTTAAATTTATCCATCAAAAATTTTTTCACCTGCACTTTAAAATTATATTTTTTAGAGCAACTTTTAATCATGTCTGGTAACGAATTCCAGTCTTTTATTCCATTATAAAAGAAAGTGGTTGATTCACACTCTTTAATTCCTGGTATATAAAAGTTTTTGAAAAGAAACAAATCAAATCAAAACATCAGTCATAGGAGTTAAAAAAAAACTTAAAATATTTTACTTCTTAATAACAAGATTATTTTTAACAATGTACAGAACAAAATAAAATCCAACCCCACTTTTTTTTCTAAATAATTAATAAGCAGAAAACAGATGAAAATTATTATTTGGTGCCGAACTGACCAACTAAATGCCGAAATGACTTTAAAATAGGTGCCTATATGATCAGATGCCGATTTGACTTTTTTCGATAGGTGCCGATTTAACTTGTACCCTCTGACCAACAGAGAGGATTGAGTGTAACCTGATAATTTGTTTCCTGGATTTAAAATTTATTATTATTCTAGCCATATTTTGTCAGTTGCTTACTGCAAAGGCAACTCTGGTTTTCTCTAAATATAAATCTTAACAGTTTTCGAATGACTGAATAAAGCATAAATTAATGTTCTCAATGAATTCTATTTGAAACTATAATACAAGACACATAGAATTAATATGAAGTGAAGACACAATTATAAGGGCTATTCCCGAAATGTCTGTATACATTTGTAGGTAGGGGGAAGGCATCTTAATAAAAAATAAAGTAAGTCTCATAACATTTGGTTGAGGCTAACTTAAGTAGAGAACAGAAACTAAAAATTCAGCAATTTTTCTATTTGTAAACACGCATAACTCTAGAACCGTTGTGTATAAGTTTTATAACATTTGGTTGAGACAAACTAAAGTTAGAGAAAGGAAACGAAAAATTCAGCAATTTTTATGTTTTTAAAGGGACATAACTCAAGAATGGTAAAAGTGTTGCCACCAAATTTCGTACTTAATCTGTATTATGTAGTAATAAGCATTGTGTATAAGTTTCATAACATTTGGTTGATGCAAACTAAAGTTAGAAAACGGAAACAAAAAATTTGTACTTGATCTTAGTTTTGTGGTAATGAATATTGTGTATAGGTTTCATAATGTTTGGTTGGGGCAAACTTAAGTTACAGAATGGAAACTGAAAATTTTGCAATCTTTCGATTTATAAAGGGGCATAACTCAAGTATGGCACTACTCAAATTCAACTTGATCTGTGTTTTATCAGTGGAAGTCAAAATTAAACATTGCATTGTATAAAGCATTGATTGTAGTTGATTCAACTATAATCATGGACAAAGGAAGATAACTCCAATTTTTTGGTAAAAGTGACACCACCAAAATTCAACCTTGATCTGTTTTTTTGTGGTAATAAGCATGTGTATAAGTTTCATAACATTTGGTTGAGGCAAACTAAAGTTAGAGAACGGAAACCAATTTTGGGACGTACGTACGTACAGACGGACAAGGGTAAAACTTAATGCCCACTCCGTTACGGCCGGGGCATATAAATTGCATGGGCTACTTCACATATTTTCCCAATCAAAACTTAAAATTAAGGAAAAATGAATTAAAATTTTATTCAAATAAAAAGTGCTTTTCCCTCCCATACAATCAATTCTGGAATAGCCCTTAGTGATAAAGAATTGCAATAAGAAGAATATTGAACATGGAAAGGGGTGAAGCAAGCCATGTCATATAAAATTTGCCAAAAAAAATCACATTAATTTTCAATTTTTGAGCAAAAATTTAAATGAGCTACTAAAAATGGGCAAATTAACATGAAGAATAAGAGGTCAAAATCTACTCCAGAATAGCCCAGATGCCACTTCCTGCAATCTAGATTTTCAAAATGTTCTTGGACCCCCTGGCTTAACGAGAAGGGGGGATAGCGACGCTCGTTTCAGGCCTTGTGGCCCTCATAATTTCCTGATACTTTTATTTTTCTTCCTCTTATTCAAAAACTTATTGAGAACACTGTTCATGACTTTGTTAAATGCTAATGAAAGTTAAAAGTAAAGTACAAATGTAGTATGCTTATGAAAATTAATCAGTAGTATCATGACTGTTACACTGAATGTTATTTTTTTATTTATTTTTTTTATTACAAAGAAAAATTGTAGCAAATTATATTGGAAAAGTGTGATCATACATTTACAAGAAGCAAAATTAATATCTTCCTCATTGTTCATGTGTGCCACTATTTAGATTTGTGTGTGTTTATATTTTTTGTATGTCTCATCAATATGCGGTTTTACATTTTAGATCCGAACACATGAAATGCAATCCATTGTTAATACAGATATACTCTTTACTCACCTGATCCTGTGGAGGATCCCAGTTAATTTGTTCAAAAATAGGTACATCTTTTGGTCTTTTTACTACTTTTGACCATGGACATATTCTGTCTACTAATTCACCTGATTTGGTTCTTACAACTAACTGAAAAAATAATGTACTATTCAAAACCTTAAACTCTCTTGAAGTACATTTTGATTTTATATGCGTGTGTGTGTTTTTTTTGGGTTTTTTTTTTTAAATGAGGACTTTAAAGTAAACTTTTAACAAGAAAGGTATACCATAGCACACTTTTTTGAAGTAAGGACTTTGAAGTAAACTTTTAAGTTCAAACTTTTAACAAGAAAGGTATACCATAGCTCACTGTTAAGAGCAAATCTTCTTTGGAATTAGACTTTATGATACAATTGAAAATGTATATTAACATGATTAAGTAAATTTACATGTACATACAAGCATAAACTATAGTACAATTTTACATGACGGATGGATTAGAATTTGGTAATGTCTCAGGGTTTAAGATAAGAGTCTATTACCAATCTGCTATTGTGTGATGTGTAATCACTTGATATAACTTATCAACGTATTTTTAAATATAAGAGTAACATGACGGATGTCACATGTGGAGCAGGATCTGCTTACCCTTGCGGAGCACCTGAGATCAACCCCAGTTTTTGGTGGGGTTCCTGTTGTTCAGTCTTTAGTTTTATATTTTGTGTTTTGTGTACTGTTGTTTGTCTTTTTCTTTTTTAGCCATGGCATTGTCAGTTTATTTTCGACCTATGTTCCTTGGGTATCTTTCACCTATCTTTTACTGTATTTTTTCAAATAGATTTAAATATTAAACAAATTCCTTCAGCCAATCATATGTCATTTGTATTTGAATTTTACTGTTAGCGACAATTGAATTGCTGTTTTAGTTGGATGTTGAAATACATATTCACTATAAATACCAAATGAGCAACTTTTGAATTATCAATAAGTTCATGCAAAAGATTTGTTTTTTAAGTAGAGCCTTTTGTAGTAAAGGTGGTGATTTAATTGATTTACAGCTCTAACTTGTCGGTGCAGTTTTTAAATAAATGGTTTAATCTTGGCAAAATAAATATACCGAAAATGAAAGTTAAACTAATTGGATGAAGATGATTTTCTTTACTATTCTACTATAGACTATGTGTTTCATCTGAATAAAGTTTCCTGAATACTTTCAAGCAAAACGTATCCTGATCATAATCATGATAATTCCAGTAGTAAATATAAATTGACTATTAGAAAATTTACCTTTACTTTACTGTTATGTGGTATAGGACATGATCCATCTTGATTTGGAGGAATTTTTATTTCCCATTTACCAAATTCCAGTCTGGTAAATGGATATTGTGTTTGGTTCCAGCTGTCTGAAATATAACAAAATGATACAATGACCTACTCAAAACATGAGATATACATGAAGTGATATTGAAAGAAAAAAGTTTACCTTCTGGAAAAATGGCATCTCAAGAGTATTGAGAATTTACAATCAAATAGAAGTCACACACATTGTGATGCTAAATATACATAAAATTGAGAATGGAAATGGGGAATGTGTCAAAGAGACAACAACCCGACCATAGAACAGACAACAGCAGAAGGTCACCAACAGGTCTTCAATGCAGCGAGAAATTCCCGCACCCGGAGGCGTCCTTCAGCTGGCCCCTAAACAAATATATATACTAGTTCAGTGATAATGAACGCCATACTAAACTCCAAATTGTACACAAGAAACTAAAAATAATACAAGACTAACAAAGACTAGAGGCTCCTGACTTGGGACAGGCGCAAAAATGCGGTGGGGTTAAACATGTTTATGAGATCTCAACCCTCCCCTATACCTCTAGCCAATGTAGAACACCTACTTGTAGTTCAAAGTATTGGTAAACAAAAAAAATATTTTCATTCAGCATACTTAAAAATTCAATGTATGGAAAAGCAGGAAATGGGTGTCTTTCATATCCCAAAAGTGCTGAAATAACATACTAATCACTGTCAAGTTGCTGACCAAAAATAAAGTCATTCTGTTCATGAGTTCAAGAGAAATGTGTGACAGAAATATTTGTTGCCTGGAAAGGGGATTGCATTAAAGCAGACCAGGGGTAATTAAAAATGTAATTGTAATTTACTTTACTTACAATGTAGTTTGACTTAGAAGACTTCTACTCAGGGGCGGATTCAGGCGGGGGCGCGGTGGGCATGCCCCCCCCCATAAAAAAAAAAATTTTGCAAAGCATGGGTTTCCACAGCTTAATAAAGTATATTTCGATAATTTTACCTCAAAATTTTTTTTCCAAAATTTAAGTTTGTTGCCCCCTAACCTAAAATCCTGGATCCGCCCTGCTACTAGGCTCCAATTTTCCTCTAAATTTGTAAATTGTTAGTTTATTAGTGAAATGTTTTGATAATTTGATAATTTATCTTTTAATTTTTTTAAATTCTTCAAATTAACAAATTTCATTTTCTTGAAACATAATATCTGACCTATCTTGCTACTAGTTTAAAAGAAAAAGCAATTTAATTTTTGTTTTATTTGAAAGAGATTAATGGATGTGTTTTGTTTGTTGTTCAAGATGTACATACACATGACACGTGGCTCTACATACATTTAATAAATATAAATAATAAAACAATTATCATGATTATTATAATAAACTAAATCATTAAAAAAATAATTAAATACAACAAAATGTCATACTGAATTCCCCCCTAAGATATAATCCTTCTGCACCAGGTGCCCATTCCTTCATGCATATCCCATTGTCTGGTGTTCTGTGTAGGCCAAAAGATTCATATCCTCGACTAAACTTCTCTATGCCACCTTCTGTACTATCAATGTGTCTAATTACATCTTGGAAACATCCATATCTATTAAAATATTTTCAATAAATAAATTACATACAAAAAGTTTTGTTTCACAGGAGAATTTATAAAAGTCTGTAAACTGCAATGTACCACGACCCTAGCCTGTCACCCATTATGAAAATCTTTCTTTAAATTTAATGACCATTTGTTTCAGGAAGTATTTACGGTATTACATCTATTTACATGATTTACAACATGTACAAACATTTTTTAATGATTGACATGTACTCTATGGTCTGTAAATTGTCCAAAAATATCATATGGACCTAAGAGCTATGGTTTCGCAGCTAATCTGAAAATTGTTTTTAGCAAAACTTTTAGGAATTTTGGGTCCTCAATGCTCTGCAACTTTGTACTTTATTTGACCTTTTTAACTTTTTAGATTCGATCGTCACTGATGAGTCCATTGTAGACCAGGAAACCCTCGTCTGGAGTACAAAATTTCAATCCTTGTATCTATGATGATTTTTTTTGCATAGTATATGTACATGTATGATGTAGTATTAGAGCGATTGGAGGATCCTGGATGACAACATGGGAAAAAATGAAAAATGTTCGACATAGGAAAAAGGCAAAAAAAAAGATTGCTGACATGCCAATAAAATCTAACGCCTTCAGTGTATCTGCATCATGGAATGTATTAACGATTTTTGAATGCGGAGAAGTAGAAAGCATGCATAACTTACCTTCTCCTAATTTCTCCTTCGTGCAATCTAAGATAAGGATCTATATCTAAAAGATGTTGTATTTCTGGTACATCGACTTTAGACAGAGAACCGTCCATCGTGTGTGAGTGTCCCTGAACTATTTTGACCCTCAAAGACTAGTTTACGTCTGCTGTTTATACCACTGCATTTCGTCAAGGTCGATCATGATGTGATCGTTGTTTATTTAGCGTTTGATGTAATCCAGTTTTATTCAAAGCGTTCATATGACTGTGATAATTTTCTAATGTCTAAAACAACATAGGAAATGGCTAAGACTTGGGGATAATCTCAAAATAAATAAATAACAAGATACGGATTTTCTCTGAAAACAATATTTCAACTCGATAAAAATGTATTCCTTAAACACAATAACAACCAAGAACTTTTCATCTAGTCTACAATATTCTAAGTTCTGCAAATAAACACACCTCCAGTCTTCGTTTGTATGTCTTATATTGTAGCTGATACCAGAGACATATATTATATGTCTCTGCTGATACTAATACCAGAGACATATATACATATGGCTCTGCTAATACATACATTGATTTATCTACTAGTCCTAGTTTGTAGGTAAAAACCTAATGATAATATAATATCAGAAGTCCTAGTTAGTAATGGACTTTTGACAATATATAACATTATTTACAAATGTACTAATGTTTTGTTTTTTTTTACTATTGAACTTTATGTTTCTACTGTACATATTTTAGATGTGTTAAATTTTACGTTATTACTCATAGTTACAACAAATGTTTGAAGTCAACTAAATCTTCATAGCAGATTTGGGTGAAACTAAGATTACTTTAAACACATATTTAATAGTTATCTCAGGGTGAAACCTCCCCCCCCCCCCCCCCCCCCCACGGCCTAGGTTTGGAAATTAGCGATCTATCATTTGACCAGTTTGACTGATATATATATTTTCTTTATTATTACTAATTTCATTTATAAACGCGTTTTTAAGACCAAGATCAACTGAAACTATAGAAGAACCATTATCACTACTACTGTCTTGTATAGTCCTTTTAAAAATAATTGCCGATAAGATTAGTCCGTTATCCGAAAGAGTCTAAGGGAAATAGCACTTTTTGAAGATTAAGTTTATGTCATAAGAAAGACGGAAATACAGTCACGTCACGACGACTTGAAATATTTGTACAACCTATGTTAATTCTTAATCCGATTCAGTAATGAATTAATTCAATTGACATACTGGATATCGAACACTAGGAAACAAACCTCAAACCAACCAACCCCAACACTTTTAAGTGCTCCTAAAACAAAATAATTTTTGACCCATTGATAATCTTGTTTTGACATTAAAAATCCGATTGATGATTGATTAATTGTTGTTTCCTTTAACGCCCAATGGCAATCGTTTTATGCGTATCAAGAACGGGAAACTTTGAAATAATAATACAATCGGTAGTGAATGTTGAAACGACTAGGATGATGGTTGGGAAATTTGGACTGCTAAAATGAAAACAATGACATGTTGGGTAGGAATAGAAGGCGTGGCATTTTCTCGACATGAGGCATCGAATTTAATGTCCCCATACTGACCAGATGTGGCCGCGAATTTATACATCTCGCACAGCCAAACGGACGTCCCACATTGGCAAGTGTTTTACTGCTGGATGGAAGATCACCAAAGGGGCCATATTTCTTTATACCTCAGTCACCCTTGGGGTTAATCCTATTAATCCCATTTACTCATATCAGGGGCGGATCCAGCCTTTAAAAGGGTGGGGGTGGGGGTTCCAACCATATGTCCCATTCAAAAGCATTGATCGTAAATAAAAGGGGGGTTCCAACCCCCGGAAACCCCCCCCCCCTTCCCCCCTTGGACCCGCCACTGCATATTTAACCGTTTAAAAGTCAGTGTTTGGCGAATTATTTCGCTGAGGAGGTTTAGTGCCAATGAAATGTTAAGCAAGAGTAAGCTTTATTATTCTTCGGGAAGACATTGGAAGTTATATATGTGCCAGCATTAAAGAATACTCATGAAGACTTTTAAATTTTACCCATTTGCATATCATATTTTAATCACAAAACATTTTTGTAAATTATTAGACAGTTTTAAAAAGACAATTTAAGGCCTCGTCAGCGTTACGCAATCTTTTAATAGCAATGCCAAACATATAATTTCATGTTGTACATCATAATGTGTTATCATCAAGAGGCAGCTCTTCAAAAGTGCACGTTGTTGAACTTCAAAACCTCATAACAAATATCACATAAGAACAAGATATAAGTTGGTTAAGATGACAAAAAAAGCAAAGAATAAAAAACAAAGAAACTGAATGACAAAAAGAAAAAGAAAAAAATCATAAGCAGTGACGAATGGTTTTAGTGACATAAGGCGCTCGTCAACCATGCGTATATATATGTGTGTGACTGTGTGTCAGCAAAATTTATAAAATTAATGAATTATAGGTATATAGTCTTATAGTGATGTGTACACTATGACACAAAATTTGCTGTGGTGGTGATGATTTTTCGGATTTATTTTATAAAAAGAAACAAACCATTTCAAGGCGAATATGTTTCAATATAATAAAAAAACACAATTTCAATTAAATCGTCTCAATAAACTTTCTTTCGTTATGTAAAACCGGCTTCAATAAGACATGTTTTTAAACAGTAGTTTCAAATTGTGGAAAAATGCAAACTGAACCAAGATTTTAATATAACCACTGGTTAAAGCAAACCAAAATAAACTTCGTGCGTGTAGTTTCAAACTAAAAGAAGAATGTGAACCTATATATACATTTTGTACTGGATTAAACAGATTATCAGTTAAGTCAATAGGACAGCAACTTAACAATCTCAGCTCATCAATAATGGGTAAATAAGGGTCTTTAACCTGGACATACACAGCACCCTAACTAGAGCAAATTCCTTGTCGACCTAAGTCAAGTCGAAGACACGTTATTAATTATAACTTATTTATCAGAGACGACAAGAGATCTGATATCATCAAATTATTTTACAAAAACATATTGCGACAAACGTGAACCTGACATGAATGAATTCGCAGCGGTGAAATTATTTCTTTATATACTGCATGTATCGACAACTAGACAAACAAATCATCCAAACAACTTGGAACTACTTGTTTTTTAAATAAACAAAATTAACTATTGTTTCTTGTCAAAATGTATTTTATATTGTGCTAGTTTTTAAAGATATTATGTTACAAAAAAAAACCTTCATCAACGTGCGTATTTTAAGCTACGGGCTATAGAAAATCTTAAATTTTGTAAAATGTAAATCCGGAAAATCGAATATATATCAAGTATAGAATCCAGAAATAAGTTATGACAGATAGCTGTTATAAAAATAAACAGTAACTAGAAACTCGCCTGGTTTGTATAAGTTGAAAAAAATATACAACAGTAAACATTTCAATTTGTTCAACCTGATCGAATCTAAGAATGCTTTTCGCCGACACGTTTTTTTTTGTTTTTTTGTTTTTGTTTTTTTTTTATTATTTCATCGGTACCACGTGTATAGATAGACCTTCCGTACAGTTTGACTAAATTATCTGATTATTCTCCCATCACAAAGACATTACAAAAAATTAATCAAAAAAAATCTTTCTGCATTTGAAGATACAAATATTTCCACATATTCCCATAACATAAAAGTTTGTCCATTAACCTTAAAAGTCTGTATATCTGCATCAAAATTAGCAAATTGTTGTAAAAGATTGTGGAATTCTCCCATGCTTCCTTAATTCAGAAGCAAAGATTTGTAATAGGATATAGACTAAGTATTAATGCTAGCTATTACAGAAATCATGTGCAAAGTACTTTGTCTGTTGACAGTGAAGTGCCACCTCCTTACACTCGAATATAAGTACATTCCATATGTTAGCCGCGTAAATAGTGGGGGGAAACTGGTACGAAATGATGTTAGTAAATCATATTCACTTTGGTTTATATGGAGAAAAAACGTGTTTTTGTGGATGGTCTTCTAACTTTCATTTTAGAATTTTAATCACAATGTTATTTTTACTCCTGGTGCGAACGTTAGGGATTGATAGTAATTCCGGACAACATCTAATTTAAAATGTGACAAAATGCGTCTTTATCAGAATTGTTAAAATTATTAGAATTTTGCCTATAATATTAATCTTGGATATTGTGATTTTAACAAATACAATATTATGTCAATATAGACAATCAATAAATCCTACGAACCCCTCAACGAGTTTTTGCTAGGGTTCGTTTACGTGCGCAGAGCATGATACTCTTCCTATACAATGCATAGGATTTAAGGTCCTCATTTCTACAACTGTAGCCACGTGTCTATACATCCAAAACAGAGGACCCTTGCGAGGATGTCATACCCCTTCAGACTTGTAACAATTTCTACACTGGGATATACAGTCCCTGTAACGTAAAAGTTAACACTTTTTTCATTCGGGAATCGTACGTACAGCGTTCGGGAATCGTTCGTATAGAGTTCGGTCATCGTTCGTACATCATTCGTATAGCGTTCGTACAACGTTCGGTCAGCGTTCGTTCATCGTTCGTTCATCGTATGGTAAATATCATCGTTTAGGGTTTTGTATATCGTATGGTTCATGGTATCGTTTAACGTTTTATTTGTCGTATGTAACATGGTATGGTTTAGCTTTTAGCGTTTCATTTATCGTATGGTTTAGCGTTTAACGTTTCGTTTATCGTATGGTTTAGCGTTAAGCGTTTCGTTTATTGTATGGTTTAGCGTTTCATCTATCGTATGGTATATCGTTTTGTTAAGCGTATGATATATGTTTTATTTCAGAAAGTTATTTCAATTATTATTTTGAGTTAAAATAATTTAATATAAAAAATGCGGGATAAAAAAAAACAGTTATTAAATTGGATTGATTTATAGTTGGTTGAGTACTTGTATATCCCAAACAACCAAACGGATGCCCCACTTTTTTTTTACTGCCAGCCGAAAGAAGACTTGTAGTGACCACATTTATATCCCCTTGTCACCCTTTGGACTAAATTAGACTGGAAAGATTGAATTGGAAACATTTCACTTGTTAATTAAAGCAAATAAGTTATCTTAATTATTATATTTTTTGTTTTATACAAATTGCGTAATTCTTGATGTTTTTTTGTAATTTTGAATCATTGTGTTAATAACATTTCAAATTTGATCTTATAAAATGTTAAAAAAAACTTACCTAAACAATAACCTTA